AGGGTAGGGTAGAAATACTAGTATTTCTCTCCACTGTGGAATACCACGTCTTAGAAAAGTTTGGGGGTTTTCTTCTTTTTTTTTTTTTTAATCTCTTTCCTATGTTTTACTGGGCCATCATGTCATGAGACAATTTGCTCTTCAGAATTTTTACAACTCAGAATTTTGCACTCTTAACCCTATACTCCCTGTCTAAGGAATAAAAGAAGGTGAATTATAGCTTTGTTGGAAAGAAGTGAGAGTGCTGAGCTATGGAAACCAGGTAAAATTATGTATTGAAGAGCTGTAGTATTTGTTGTAAAAAGGTTTTTTATATCTCTCTGAGTATCTTTATGTAGTATTCAACTCTCTGCTGTGCCTTGTAAATAAAACACGCAGAGAGTGAATGTGCAGCCTACGAAACTTAGGGTGAAAAGTGGGTGAAAACTTCCCTGGTGCTCCCAAGTGCAGCTTTCACTGACATTTATTTTTGTCCCTCACTGATTCATATTTCCAGTTCTGTAGCCATCACTTTTTATCACTTTCCATCTTTGCTCTTCATTCCAGAAACTCAGTAAGGTATATTTGTTTATTAGCAGTTGGATGATTGGATTCAAAGTTCCAACTTATTTAGATTGGTTTTTTTACCTTTTTTCTGCTTCTTAGGTTGTTTAATGAAGGAAACCATCACCTCAACTTCTGTTTAAAAACTTCATGGACCTTTGCAGGGGTTAATTGCTTTTTTCCAAATTTAAGGCTTCCTATGTAAATCACCATCCTAACTTTCACAGGAAACCTGGAAGACACTTGGTTACTTTTCACAGCACTACCAGGTCTGATGAACTCATTATCCTACTTACAGGAGACAGATCACTCTGCCTTGAAAGCTTTTATTAGGTTTACTGTTTGAAGCATGGGCAGTGTGCTCTTGACAGGTACAATTACCAGGAGAAAGTGGCCTCTCCATTGCTTGGGAATTAGAGTTCAGGGTATACATAGCTCAGAGTGGTACCTGAAGTCTCAAAGCTCTTCCATTATTCCTTTAATACTGTCTGAGGGAGAGAGGAACGTGTTGATAATTCTTACCTGTGGAAACTGCAAATGATCCATTCAACTCCCCCACTTTGTGTGGCTTTAAATGCTGGTGAGAAAGGGAGGGTTTGTGAGATAAAGCTGCTTAGCTGTAGCCATTTAACTCAAGAGATAAGATCTTCAATTCTGCAGTGGTCTATTGTTCAGAGGCCTTTACTATAGCAGAACAAAAATCTACAAGCCAAGTAAATGAACCTAAAACGTTTTGTAATCTCCTGTTGGCTAAAAACACAAGGACACTTGAAAGCTCTCAAAGGTGGAAGTGCTGAAGTGAAACTGTCACCTTCTGTTTATTTTTAACCTTCAACTCTCTTTGATAAATTTGTCTGAAAGACCAACTGAGGAAGCACTGATTGTATGTAAAGTTCACTGTGAGCATTTAGTACCAGACTCTGAAGTCATCCTGCATGTCTAGAAATTCAATGTACCAAATGCTTCTCTATAATAAATTCTACTTAAAAGGGTGTATGGATTATTTTAAAATCTGAAATACAAACCTAGCTGCCCAAACTAATTAATAGTTCCAAAAGGCTTAGAATAGCTTGTTCTGCAGATCCATTAAAACAGCTTGGAATTCTGTTGATACTGAATTGTTAATAACTTTCTTTGAAATCCTGCTTTTTGTATTTTTTTATTTTTTGGCCAAAGGCTGTCTGAACGCTGTCATTATACACAAAGAGCTAAACCTTCTTTGTTGACAGAAACCTTTACTGTCCATAACTTCCAAGATTTCATGCTCAAATAATATGCATAACCAAGATCCCTGAATATGCCTTTGAAATATCTGTGCTTCTGAAATAAGGAATTCAGATGCATTCGGGTACATTCTTTTCTAGAAAATAGATTAATAATACCAACAAGATCACTCTATTATTTTAATGAGCACAGCTTTCTGGGACATTATGTGCCTTTATAAGAGGGCTAACACTGCTGTGGGGCATAGTACTGTGGAGAAAACCAAGACATTCTTGATTAGTAATTAAATTGCATATTAATTACATGCAGAATGGAAGCTTTCATGTTGTATCCGTACTAATTCTCTCATATGGGTTTTCTGAACTTAAGAACATTTTGATGGAGAAGCAGTTCACACAATATTTTATTCTGTTTTTTTTCCATTTCCATTTACTTTTTTTTTCCATATAATTTATGTAATGCAATAGCTTATGGTATTTTTCTGTCTGAAAAACAAAAGTCACCCAATATAGATTCTGAAGCCAAATAAACAGTTCTCCAAGGTATTTCTCTGGAACTAATACAAGAGAATTTGCTTTACTGGGTTGTATGGACAGCTGTTGCTACATTTGTGATGATAAATGATCTTTTGGAAGTTCAGATATGAAGGTAATCATCTATGGGGGGATTATTCCACATGAATAAGCATTTATATTACAACAGGAAAGGACATACCAAGCTATTCACAAGAGACTTACAGTATGGAAATTATAAATTCTGTATTTCCATGAGAAGTAGTGATATTATTTAATGCAAAATAAGTTGTATTGAATTATGACAGAAGTTATTAGCTTTTATGTTGAAAGCTAATAGGGTTTGTATTTAGGGTTTTTATTTTTAAGGACATTTAGAAGGCATTCTAAATGCCCTTACAAATACTTGCCTCTGGTATCTTGAAAAATATGAACTAACATGTTTTTGTAAACAGATGCAATTCTTCATGAAGTTTGTACTGAATTGCTGTGAATTCCATAAAACTCCAAATGAAAATATAGATTTTCTATTCTACCAAGGAAATAGGAGAGCCTAGCTTAATCAAAATAATCACACTTCAGTCATAGCAGCCTTCAGGTTTTTGGAATTCTTTACTTACTAGGCAACTTTTTTGTAGTTAGAGTTTTCGTTGTGATATCTGTATTTTTCAGGATTGCAGGTTCCTGATAGGTTAATGAGAAGTTAACTGTGATGGAGGTTTAGATTATGTGAAGCACTGTGGTCATCAAACTGTTTCATCATCAGACATTGATTTCCTCCACTGGCCATATGTACATATTCTGTATTGTATTAATGCAAAAATCTGCATTCCTGGACTTTATTTTCCATATATGTATAAAAAGGCATTGAATGCCTTTTTATACATATATGGAAAATAACATTTTAAAACTCTTCTGGAGTTTAGAAGCTGAAAATTTTGGTCCCACTGAGAATGGTGTCAAATACATCTGGTAGCTGGCCTGTTGTGGCAACTTGAAATGTGGTAACCCAGAAATCTGATGGACAGTCTTCATATAAAACCTGGACATCAGATGGTCAGAGTCAGGCTGGAATTCACTGCCTGCCAGGTGTAAACTAGAAAGTCTCATCTCACTGAACAAACTGACTTCTATTTTATTGCAGGTGTTTTCAAGATAGAGGTGATTTTCTCTAAGAAATTCTCCTTAAAATCTTCTATGCTAATTTTCAACAAGAAAAACAAAGATTCAGTATTTTGCTTGGCATGATTCGTGAGCTTGGATTTGTGGCATATGTCTGTGAAAATATTTGCATGTTTTTGTTTTATATTGTGTCATTGTGAAATAACATATTTGTAACCTGTGCAGTTAGTCAAGTGAAGTCATGGAGAGATATTAAATAATAAAATCAATTTATTGTTTCATCTTTGCATTACTGGGAAAATGTAACTTCTGTAAGTGCCCTGATAGTTAAAGCTAATGTCTGAAAACACAAGAAAAGAGAGTTACACATCATTAAGTATAAACATGATGTGAATTTTGCTACTCCTTCCACAGGTGTTTTCCATTAGAATATGTCTGCCACATTCAGACCTATTTTAAGCAAATTCACAAGGAAATGCCTCCTTACATGTTTATCCTGGAAGGCCAGATAGGCGTTTTACTTTATAAAGCAGTCTAAAAGTTTTCTATTCTTCAAATGAAAAAATATTTTTCAGAACACAGTATTCCAGGTTGGTAATGTATTTCTAGCTGCCATTAGAGACACTTGAAATTAAAACATAATAAAATTTGTGAAACATAAATTACTGTTTCTTAGATATGCTGGTGAAAGGGGGATTTGCCTGCTTAACTGTATGTGTAAAAAATTTATGTTTGTTATATACACTTATATAAAACTCTACTGTAACTTTCCTCTTGGTGATCTTGTAAAATGTTATTGCATTGATACTGTACTTGCAGGTTATAATAGATCATCTCTTAAATAACTTGCAATAAAATGTAATGACTTGCTAGCAATTATATCATGACAAATATGTAGCATCAGTAATTTCCAGCAATAATTTTTGGGTTTGGGAAACAGCTTATCTCTTAGAGACAAAACTCGCATCCTGAAAATTCTTTACTTGATGCAGAGAAAAAAAAATTGATGTGATTATGAACAGTTCCATATCTGCATGTAGAATACGTGGTCACTTCAGAGTTCATTTTCTCCCTGAAAATATGTTTAGGATGACAAGAAGTTGACAAAAAAGCAGAATTTTCATTTGTTCATGTTTCCTGGGTCTCCAGGGTCACAATATCACAAATGGTTGAGAGAAATACATTTACCTTCTACTCTCTGTACATAGAAACTGTACAAAGTGTACAAACTGAGGTAGTGCAAGACTAATTTAAATTCTGCAACTGTTTAAATGAAATAAAGTGTGGTTTTGCTTAGACCATCTTTATCAATTGTGTAAGTGTTGCTTTTACATAGTGATTCATTTTTCAACTTCTTTCACAATAACTTTTAGACTGAAAGGAAATACTAATTATTCAGGAAACAAAATATTTCTTATTATTGGAATTTTTCCATGACATTAAATCACTTAAAGGAGTTCTGTGAATGTAATTTAACTGAATCAACATTTGTAGTAATTTTGTGAGTAACTGACAAGTCTAAGTGTCTTGGATTAATTCTTTTTGTCTGTGTTACTCACTGGACATGGTTAACAAAATATGAATGTTTTCTCCCGATAGCATCAACGACTTCTTGACATTTTGGAAGCAGAAAAGGAAGTATTGTCAGAAAAGATAGAAGAAGCTATGATGCAGCAGTCACAAAAGCACAAGGTACTGCTTTTGTTTACCAAAAAAATAAGAGCCCCAGCATCGTGGAGTTTATTGGGAATGATCCTGTCACAGTTACTGACAGGAAGAGGAAGCTTTCTTAAGCACTGTGACTGTTTGAAATTGTTTTTAGCCACTCCTTTATTGTCTGTTGCAGTTTAATTTTTCATTTTTAGCCACTCCTTTATTGTCTGTTGCAGTTTAATTTTTCATAACTTTGCAGGAAATGCTGGACAAGTGTTTGGATGAAGAAAGACAGAGGAGCAAGGAGGCTTTGGCAGCTGCTGCAAAGGTATCTCTCATTAATTAGTGGACATGCCATGTGGATTCCATGTGTGTCATTAGAAATGCCAAGCTCAGACACTTACTTTTGTTTCATACTTGTATTTATCAAGCTCTGTGTTCTCATCTGTGCTTAGAATAAGCTGCTTCTACTGAAGGTGAACATATCTGCTATATCCCATGTCTTGATGCACAGATGGAACTGCCTTCTCTTGGACAATAGCCTCTGAATTGTTTATAACAAGAAGTCACAAAATTGCAGTTCAGTTGTTGCTGTTACCTAAATATTTCTTTTTGTGGTCCTTTGACATCATTGCATCTTGATTTGAAGAGCTAGGTAGCAGGGTCAACTGATTATCTTAATGAAACAATCATGTCTTATTTAACTTTAATTGAATATGGGCATCTTCAATGAGGAGAGAACTATTATTAAAGTTATATACAAACAGGGACAGATTAACAGGTTTTGAATTATTTTATGTAAGCTGATGTTTGGCTAAAAGTGACTATTCAGTTTTTAAATATGATTTCTCCTGTCTATTTCATTATTAAGTGCATTGCTGTTAGGACAATAATTTTGTAAATTTTAAGCTGTAATTAATTTCTAATACTGGTGTAGAATCCAGTACAAAAGTTCAGTTGCATGTAATGATCTGGGGAAGCTAGTGGTGTGTATTACCTGGAGCAGTTCATCAGGCTATATTATAATTTTCTGTATGTCTTTCTTATGTAGTACATGAACACTGGCTGAGCACCTCACTGAATGACATTCAGTAGTACCACAAATATTTCTTACATGGTTGATATCTACAGGAAAATGTGTGTATAATAAAACATCCTAATTTAATTATTGTATTTTTAATATCTAAGTAGAAAATCAAGCCCACTGAACTGAAAGAAACAGCTTTACTTGGAAGTGTATCTGATGAATACAGAATTATTAAGCTGAGGGATTTGTGATTAAGCTTTGTTAGCCCATGTTTGCTTATTTTGAACTTCAGTTTGCCATGTTTTATTTGTAGTTATTATGCAGTAGTTGTCTTGCTGATACATATATTAGTGTAGCTATGCATGTGTGGAGCTGTTGGCTTCAAATTCTCAGTGATTTCAGATAATGGTTGAATGTAATGATGGGGGAGCAAATAAAACAGTACTTCTTGTAGCATGGATGAGGAGCTTTGGGAGGGAAGAGACATTTGTTTTAACAAATGTATATTGGCTGATTTTCTACAGAAAGTGTTCAAACTTGCACTTCAGATATTTGTAGGTTAAGAGCGAGAATATCTCTTACATGGGAATATCAAGGGAGGCCCATGATGTGCCTACTCTTGCATGGGTTTTGCTGGGGTTTTTTTGTTTGTTTGTTGGTTTGTTTTGGGTTTTTTTTTTGTACTAAGCAAACTAGTTATGAATGCATATGTTTTCAGTAGGTGGAATTTAAGAGCCTTCCTGTAACTTCCTTTTGCTTTCTGTAACTACACAAGTCATTGCCCAGAGGTAATACCTGCTTGGTAGCACTGTAAGATAAATTGAACCTCGTAGTTCAGAAGTGAAAATATTCACATCCTTTATCTTGTGAAGGTGATAAATATGAGTCATTCAGGTTGGGTGTGTTGATCATCTAATTGTGCCTGGTCTGTTTCAAAGGCTGAAAAAGAAGTAGTGCAGGAAGCTGTTCTGAAAGCAGTAGAGGAGGAGAGGAGAAATATGGAGAAGATTCATGCAGAAGAAAGAAAACTGTGGGAAGCAGAACGTGACAGTCATAGAGAGAAGATTGCCCAGGCTGTTTCAGAAGCCATGCAAGAGCAGAGAAAGCAGAATCAGGTTAGTATGTTTTACCCTTCCATGCACCTGCTCTGTGTGTTTTTGTTTTTATTTTGTATGTCTTCTGTTGTTGTGGTAGATTTTCCTGTGACATCTGTCACTTAGTTGATATTTGCAATGCACAGCAAGCAGTTTATCTTCACTTAGATGTGTGTATGGAGGCACATACAGAACACAGTTCCTGTGACCTTTAAAGGTACATATATTGAAATGATTTAAATCATGCCTGGTTTTGTCCCCTGACTTCAAAAGGAGCCCAGGATGAGCAGCTCAGAGAGTGGCATTTATGGTGAAACAGTTCAGATGACTTCCATACCTGTAGGAGACTACAGATGTTATATTTGTTCCTTACAGAACAGGTACAAAATAAAGAGTTATAAAAACTGGAAACGTAAAGCACTAATGAACCAGAAATGTTTTTAATCACTGGAAAGATGCTTCTATAACAATAAATGTTTGTCACTTAACACAAATTGAGAGGGACATTGCCAACAGTGCTTTTAGCATTTCTACAAATTCAAAATGAAATGTATTAAAATTGAAAGTAAATTACTGTTCCATAAGTTGCATTTTGTGGTCTGTGATGTTGGATTTTGAGGGGCAGCCTGTGAATTCACTGATTTCTTGGTGGCATATTTGAATGTTATAGTCATAGTCTTCAGAAATTTAAGGGGTATATATTTCATTGGTGTGTTGTAATTTGATATTGCTGTATTTCTTTATGTGCTGCATAAGAAAAAAACCCAAATCATAAGAATTTTGAAGTAAAATAAAAGTACTCTTTGGAAACAGACACCATTTCCCTTTCCATTGTTAAACAAAATTAATAACCTCATATACCTAATCAGCTACAAAAAAAAAGGTTTGATGCCATGCCAGTATCATACTCTGTATTGCCTGAATTCCTAATGTAAATAGAGTGATTTTTTTTTAATATGTCTTCTTTATTTCTTTCAAATGTAAAGTATCAAATGGTGAAATGTCAATTTTCAAGACTTTCAGCGAGCCTTCAGGCAGTCAAACTCTTCTTCAGAACAGAAGGATGAACAGCTGAGCTCAAAGCTGAAGTCAAGCTGAGAACAATTGCTTGGGTTTAGTTAGATACAAATCATCCAGACTGTTCAGAAGGAGAACTGGTGCCAGTGTTGTAGAGACTCTCTGGAAGGGAGAGTGGCAAAGTGTTCATTTACTGGAGTAAAGACAGCAATCCTGTAGCTTGTGGAGCAGGAAGAGATTGGGAGGAGGTGGAGGACTATGGTAAAGAAGTCTGAGAAGGTTTTTGATGGATACTGAGGATTTTGGGTGGAAGAGTCCCGTGGTGGGTGCTGGAGTTCAGCCAGGGTTCTGTTGATGGGTTTGGGGGTATGGGGTGTCCTGGGTGTGGGAGAGGCGTGGGCAAAGCTGGGCCAGCAACTTGGGGCAGGTTTGCCTTCACTCTGCAGCCTGCTGCAGACTCTCTCATGGTTGATGTTGCCTTTGAAGTTGTCACAAGACAGGATGACATTAGAAGTGATTTAATTTGGATGGATCTATTCTTTGGTAAAGGACTATAGTCCTTTGATAAAGTCCTAAATCTAGTCTTTGATAAAGTCCTAAATCCGCTGCCATGTCTGCGTTTCCCTAAGGAAGTGATTCAGGTCTCTCCAAGGGACAGGTTTTTCCACTCAAGCTTCTTTCAGATCAAGTAGTTCCTAGTGTGGAAGTACCTGGTGATGTACTTGTGATGGTGAGCAGCACTGAGGTGTTGGAGGCCCTTGAGATTAATTCTGGTGTAAATATGTTGCTCTTTATGTACTCCTTTAGTAGTGTCATTAGTTAATTCCATTTCTTTTAATACCAAACAGCTCTGACAACTTTCATTGTAACAGGAATAATTTCTCTTACTTGGTTATAACATGATTAATTCACCTTCATGTCTGGTTCATTTTTTCGAGTGCCTGATCTATTTTTAATTAAGGAAAAAATGCAGATTTTTCTTGAGATTTCCAAAATTCTATCACATATATCTGTGGTATATATGAAGTTACACTCTTTATTCTCTAATTAATGAGTACAAATTCCCTGGGGAGGAAGGACTTTCATGGAGAAATTGGTTTCTTGGAGAAATTTTTCCTTCTTCCTATGCCAAGAACTTGCATGTCTCCTTTAGGCCGTTGCAATTATAAGCATACACAGAGCACAAAAATTTTCTGTCAACAAAAGTCCTTCAGAGCTGATGTGCCAAATGATAACTTATATGTGGTGTCAGATACAGCTTTGGTTTAACAATGAGAAACACTTGGGCCTACAAGGCACTTAGTGTGTGGGCAGTAATTTTTTCTGTGTAGAGCCTTCCACACAGAGTTGTTTCTTATTTATGTTTTGTTTTCTGTAGGATTTGTCTTACAAAAGCTATAACTGCAGTCTTGACTCTCTTGTAGTTATTGTTTAGGCAATATATTAAGTCAGCTCTGTAAAGGCCAAAATGCAAACACAGAGTCTAACATTTTAGACAATGAAATGTAAAAAATCCTAGAATAAAATTTTATTTTGCCGTAAATTATTTCAAAGTGATTTGCTTTATTGATTTGAACTAAAAAAGAAATTAAGCATAGTATTAAAGCGAAGGAGTTTGCCTTCACTGATGCAGTAAACCTGTGAAATGGGAAGATCACAAAGGGTCAGTCTGGTCTTCTGCAAATAGGTGAGGCAGAATGGCTTACAGTCAAAGTGCCACAAGTAACTGTAGGAATAATTAATGGAAAAATTCAAAAACATTGAAAATTTTATTATTATCTTTGAGATGGAAACCCATAGAGAAAAAGGCATTTTCATCTGCATGGTGCAATAGTTTATAAAGGACATGTTTTAAAAACTGTAGCACCACTGTGTATCTGTAAAACATTTAGGTTATGAAAGTGAGGGAAAATAAATTTCCTTGTAAAGGTGGAATGAATTTGTTGGCTTCTCCTTTGCCCTCTAGACCAGAGAAACATGATTAAGAGTTTTGATTTGTTGGTTAAAAGAGTAACTTGCCATCCATTCATTTTCTTGATTAAAATAAAATATATTGGTTTTTTCTTTCCACCAGTTTTTAAATACACTAGAAGTTATATGACTATGTAAGACAAAGCAAATGGGAAAAAACATTAAAGTATGGGTTGTTTACATTTCATTGGTTAGGCAGTTTTAGCCTCACAATAGAAGGTTTGAAGAAGAAGAACAATAAAGGTTTGAAGATCACACTTGTGCTGAATTACATGGTAAAATTGTTCTTCATCACCTAAATAATTTGTTTAAAAGAAGAAAAGAGGAGTGTTTCCTTTGCAGGGATGATCCAGGTATTGTTTTAGACTTTTTTGGTGGTGTTGCTATAGAGTGGCCAGGAAGGAGACCCAGAGGGGATCCAAATCTGGAAGGTTTATGCAGATGGCTTCTACTTGTGAGAAATTCATGCTTGACAAAACTTTGTCCTAAAAACAAATGTTTGTCCTCAGTCAAATTGTTGTCCAGTCTGCAGATAAGGAAATACTATTTCCATTTAAAATTGATTATACTAATTTAACATTGCCAGAGAAAAATTGGGAGATTTAGAGACAATTTAATAAATAAATAATGTTTAAAATGAAATATTTTGTTACCAAATATGAAAGAGCCGAGTAAAGATAAACTTCCAGTGAAAGTAGGAACTAAAACATACTGAGTTAAATATTTCAACTTGATGGAGCAACCTTGACATACCACCTTCTTCACCTTTGCTTTTTCTTTAAGAAATTAAAGGATTACAGTAACATGAATATTGTTTTGGGGTTTTTTTAATGAAAGCTTTTCATGAAAGCTTTGACTGGTCCAGTGACTTGGGGTCTTTACTTAGAGACATGGTATTTGTACTTAAAGGTATTATTTTTTGAAGCCTTATAACTCTAAAGGGATAAATGAGATATTTTACCACATCAGGGAAATGGAAAAATGTTTTTTAGAGCATGCTCTTGAGGTTGTGAAGTAGTAAAAATCCAGATGACTTCCATTTTGATTGAGACTGGCAGCATCTTCAGATTCTATAATTGTGTTTTTCAGGTGCTTGATGCTTTTATAAGAGTTTTTTGTGGTGTTTTTTTTTTGTTTGTTTGTTTCTGGGGGTTTTTTTTTGTTTGTTTGTTTGTTTGTTTGTTTTAATTTAGAAGAGCATTCTCAGTTTGGGGAAGAGCAGACTTGCATTTTAAATCAAGGAAGAACTGAGGTTGTGAAGTAGTAAAAATCCAGATGACTTCCATTTTGATTGAGACTGGCAGCATCTTCAGATTCTATAATTGTGTTTTTCAGGTGCTTGATGCTTTTATAAGAGTTTTTTGTGGTTTTTTTTTTTGTGTTTTTTTTTTTGTTTCTGGTTTTTTTGTTGTTGTTGTTTGTTTGGGTTTTTTTTTTTAATTTAGAAGAGCATTCTCAGTTTGGGGAAGAGCAGACTTGCATTTTAAATCAAGGAAGAACAAGCTCTCCTTGAAAAAACTACTAGTCTTTTGATTAAAGATAATGTTCATTTGCAAGGGGCCTCGTGATCCTCTTTCAGCACATTGAAAAGTCATCATAGATTAGGAACTCATCTCTTTAACAGACTAGACGTAGCTTGGCATGTCTCCAGTATTTTCTTTTCTGTATTTTTCTGGTGTTTTTTACAGTGGCATCTTCCCTGCAAGGAGAGTTTAATGCCTGGTAGTTGTCAGTGTGGAGAGTGGTGAAATTCCTCCACTAGAATTCTTTCTAGAACACCTATTTAAATAAAAAGTGGGTATCCTCCAGATAAGGAGAAAGTATAAGAGGTAGTTTGTCTGAGGCAGAAGCTTTTTACTTCACTGCAATCCAAAATTGCAGTGAAGCTCATGGGGTACAACTCTAAACTGAAAAAACAATGGACAATTCCCTCTACCCTTCTTTACATTTATTTTTACTCATTGAAAAAACAGAAGTCCAAAAATTCTTTGGGGATATAGGATGGTGATATCCATACAATTCTGAATAAAGGC